TAAACGTGCATATAAAGAAATTATTTGCTTAGGCATACACAGAAGCATTTATTGAAATCCTTTCAAATAGCTGGAGGAATTAAATTACTTGAATCTGCTGGTAGAGGATAAAACGCAACATTTCTATTGCGTCCTAGTTTTCTTCAAAACAACAGATGGCTATTAACTATTACACAAAGCCATGTGCAACTTAACCGCACAAAAATTGTGCGAGAAAACAGTCATTATTTGTTTTTTTCGTGATTTAGTTTCTGGCGACACATGATAATTTGCGCTTCTTTTTTGAGTTACGTTCCGCAGGTTTCGGCATAATTCCAGCGCCAGGAACTAACAGCATAGTGACCTTTGTTGGTGGATGAAGCGTGAATCGAAGAGGTGCTCTACGTGGATTGAGCATTACATCGTAAATTGATGTTTCCGATTTGTCGGGTTGCTCTACAATTTCGCGTTTTCTTTTGCATGGTGTTTCAAGTGATTCCTTTAAACTTACGCGTTTTCTTTTACATGGTGTTTCGGATGATTTCTCTACAATTATGTGTTGTCTTTTACATGACGTTTTGGGTGATTCCTCTACAATAATACGTTGTCTTTTACATGATGTTTCTGGTAATTTTTCCACAATTTTGTGCTGTCTTTTGCATGATGTTTGAGGTAATTCTTCAATTTCGCGTTGTCTTTTACATGATGTTTCGGGTAGTTTTTCTACAACTTCATGTTGGCTTTTGCATGGTATTTCACCCAAAATTTCGTGTTGCCTTTCCCTTGGTATTACAGGAGATTTTTCGTGTGGAAAATCTTCAATGGTGGGTTTCTTTACTGGCGTGTCCTGGTGCGTGTCTATAAAACGTTCAATGAAGGAAAATAATGGCAATTCTTTTTCTCAGTACATAAAACCTACCAAACCAAGAGTCTGCGTTATCATTTGAGTCGTTTACAGAGAAGTCGTGCCATTGCGGTGCATCAAAACCGTAATATGGATCAACCGGCGTAGGTCCTTGTTGTTGCTGATTCTGTGAAAGTTGTTGATTTTGTGAAAGTGGCCTATTGCTGTTTGAAGGTGGATGAACCACGTTAAAGTTGAATATACTGAAAATGGATGTTGGATTGAATCTGTACATCTCTTTGTATTGCTAAACAATGTTGGAAATGGTGGAAGATTTTATTGTGCTTAATATTTACATGTATTAATTTGTCGATCATTTCTTAAAAACGCGTTCTTTTATCATTAATGCTAAATACGCGACCACCAAATGTTTTTTATTCCAAAAAAAGGAGTAGTATCACGTGCAATTAACCAATCCAAATGGAGTGCGCAAATTTTTTGATCAATCCCGAAAAGGTAAAATTCCCTTTAAAGATGCCAGTCACATGAATTTTTGATCATTATCTGAAAAAATTCACGGTAATTTCGAATATGGTCAGGAACATGTAAATAAAAAGGGTGAAGATATAAATATTAACATTTTGATAAGTTGAGTTAATCTTGCGATTACATATTATTCACTTTTCTTAAACTATTAACAATAAAGTTTTAGTTCATAATAGATTAAATATAAAAATTCATATTATAATTACAGAATAAAAATATAATTATATTATAAAAATAATCGGAGTGCTGAAATTTTTTTGGGTTTAATATTATAATCATAAAATATCACAATTTGAGTTTCCTAGTTATGTATTAATAATTAAAAGCGATGATTATAGAGATTCGACTATATTTCAATTAATAATACTAATCTCTTGTTATAACATTATGACAAAAGATTAAATTCATACACAATATGTCATTATGACAAAAGATTAAATTCATACACAATATGTCATTATGACAAAAGATTGCACAATATGTCATTATTAATACTGATTGTTATTAATTGATTTATTAAAGATTAGATATTATTTATAAGGATAACGTGAAAGGATTTATATAAACTGGAATTTGTGAGAATAACATGGATAGATCCTTATTGCATTATCATATTTAATCAAAAATAAGCATTTCGAGCATAGTATCTGTTGATATATTCCGATCGTTCCCAGAATCACTTTGTACCGTGAGTAGTTTTGATTGTTGAAATGGACTGAAAGTTGTTTGGTTTCAGAAGCTCCATATCTTCATCATTTGTCCAAAAGTATTTTTTCTTATCGTTAGGAATATTTCTGCCGTTTTGAAAATATTCTCTGACTATTTGCAAGTTGCAGCCAGTTATGTGAACAATTTGCATGACTTCTTTACGATCAACCAAGAATTCAGCAATTGACGTAAGATTAATGAAAAATTCTTTGTTCTGTGTTCCATGTGATTTTTTCAAAATCGGAGGAATCAAAATTTTTGATCGATGATAACTTCCGTTCTTCCATTTGTTAATGTAGTTATCAGGCAATTATCTGGGGGGATAGATATGGATGGAGCAGGCCTTTTTACGAATACCTTAGAGGATGGGACTTGATTAAATGTCTGGATTGGCGGATGATTCTGTGGTGTAGCAATATTCAAAGTACTAGCTAGCCTTCAAGTATTGTCTATTTAGTAGGCGATTCGCAAAGTTATTCCATTGCTTCTTCACTAAAAGCAGAATCGACATTCTCTATTTCCACATGCAATAAGTAAGACACAGATTTTGATGAGGAAGCAAGAATATTTCCTGTAGACAATTATTTATTCTTTTGCAAGACTGCTTGTTGGGATTGACTTGGAGGAGCCGTAATTCTTTCCCTTTCTAATGATTCACCATTACTGTCGTTAAGTTGTAACGATATTGTAGAATTTGGTGGTGAGGTGCTTGTATTATTTGTGGCTTGATCTGACTGACTTATGTGAAAGGAAACAGTCTTTTTCCTTTATTCACAATTTGTAACTTATTAATTACATTTTTATTCGTCCGTGATCGATAATAATCACCGGCATCATGGTTAGATAAAAAAATGACACCTGGCTCGTTCTGGAGAGGGGGAATCGTCTTCGACAATTGTCGCACATGAAACTATAGTTTGAGAATCGCTATCATCGAAAAAATCAGAACTCTCGTCATCTTGGAATTGATCCATGTTAATTATATCATGAACCGAAGATGATCCATTTTTGGGATCAAATTCATCCTCATCAACAACTTCATATATATCATCTCTTGAATTTGCATTTGGCTTATCGTGTATTATCTTTGATGTTTGGGATCATTGTTTGGATCATCAGGCAATTTTGGAATAATATGGTTTATAGCATATTCTCGTAAATAATTCCATGAATGTTCATGCAGTCCTGGATAAAGTCTATAAATTAAAGACCCGTATAGTCCTTCACCTGCATTTCTTTGAGAAATAAGGTAACTGCGAAAAGTTTTCACTTCATCTTTAGTAAATATTGCTTTTGGAGATTCACTATTTTCATCATTTTCATTTGCAATAGATTGTCTATCATCATCACCATCACCATCAAGAGTAACGGATGATTGTCTTGAAGTGCTTATAACATTACTCTGTTCTTGACTTTCCCTATACTTGTTGTACACGGGATGTGTTGGTGTGACTTTAGAGCTTGTAAGTCGCTGCTACCTCATATTTGTTTCAAAGGAGTACAATAAACACTGCCTGATTCAGATTGAATTAATGTAACACTGCCTGATTCGGATTGAACTGATATAACATTGCCTGGTGCAGATTGCATTGATATAACATTAGAGACACTTTGCTCCCGTAGTTTCACGTTTATCACTTAATTGTGGCGTAGAAGAGGTTGGAGCATTGCCTTGTTCTTGAAATTTGCAAATTCAATACGAGTTGATGTTGCATTAGGAGAAGACGTATTATCAGCATTATTTTCCTGCTGGAGTTCTTGATTATTGGTTATTTGAGTAAGAGTAGCATTATGTATTTGCTCTTGTTCGTTAACCATTGGGCGTTATTGAGGTACTCGTACTTTCATTCGCCATGAGCAACAAATTAACATTCACACACAATATATCATCGTGATCAAATTAACATTCACACGCAATATAATCAATTTGTTTATTGTTAAGTGTGCATAGTAATCCTCCTTGGACGAACAGACAAGAATTGTCTTAGCATTAGCATATTGAAGTTCTTGTCATCTACAATATACCAAATGTCTCTATAGCTACTTATTAATATTAAATTTACTT